GAAATACTCCTGAAATGTCTTGTAAGGATCTCCATGGTATAAGTATTTGACGGGTTCTGTGTAAACGCCAGGAATGCCATGTTTAAGTCCAGCCTCACCGTACTGGTCATAGCGGGCTCTTAGTACAGGGTCCTTCAGCACCTCATAGGCCTCCGATATCCATGTAAATTGTTGTAAAGTATCAGATTCGGGTTGTTTGTTCCTTAATGGATGAAATCTCAATGCTTGCCGACGATATCTAGAGAGGTCTATGTATAAAACCAATTAAGTCATAACATACGCTCGATGAAGATCCTTTAGTGTGGCGCTTTCAGTAACACCGAGGAGGTAATAATAGTCAACACCCATGTTCACGTAGACACGGCAAGACCTAAAATCAGAAAAATGTGTGCCAAATGGCAAAAACAAAGCGTTTTAGAGGCATGGGTTACGAAATAATGATGAATATAATTTATTTTTGTGAGTTGTTAACGTTTAATTAGATGTTGTTTGGGTTATTTCGCTTAGCCAAATAGCAAGTTTTATAACCTTAAAAGTGATAAAACTGCTGCATATATCAGACAACCGAATTCTTTATGTAATAATCTAAGGCATTGTAACCTGCCTAAAACTTTGAAATATAGCCTTTCCAATAATGTATGTTGGTGCATAAAATGGCATTAGGTGGCTATTGATATTACGTTCTAATTAAAGAAGTTTTCTAAGCTTAAACACGAGAAAATTAGGTAATTTTAGGATAAAATTCCTCTTACCCTGACTATTTTAAAATACGCTCAGTATTTGAAGAGCGTCAAAGTCGTCGCCACAACACCCGTGACTCAAACAAGTTCTGGGCAAATTGATGCCGATTCTTATTAAAAGAGCAATGTTACAAAAATCTTTAATTATTTATTCTGTTTTAAATTATTTTACCTAGGCACCAGGCAGTCGAGAATAAAATACAAGTGCAAATGCCTGATATGCTTGTATTGCTTTTCTTCCGTTGCTGATATAATCATCAAATCATTATTTTGTGAACTCTGACTAGAGATATTTACTTTTTAATAGGTTTACTGCGCAGTCTACTTTCGTGCCTAGCATTTTCCCTTTAATCTTTCGTCATAAATCACCAGCTAAATCTTATATTTGGATCCCTTGAGATTCTTAAAGGCACGCGGCTTCAATCATCCATATATTTCCAATTTCACGATTCAATCGAGCCTTATACTATTATGTCGATTAATCTGTAGCGCCCTAAGTCTTAAAAAGCCAAGATGCTGTTGAATTGCACATTTTACTAAAGAAAAGAATTTTTGCGGGGCCACTGGCATAACCTGAAGGTCGTACCTCAGATAGGAAGCACAACCTGTGGATACTAAAGTGATCATGTAGTTCGACGCACAGTTGAACTGGACCGAATTGCTATAGTGTGGCATCCCGAGACTTCCCTGAAGACCAAAGAAGACACAATACTCGGGCAGAATATATGTATTCAGCTCAGAGAAGGTGTCTGGGCTACTGGCATGGCCCGAAGGCCAGCCCACTCAGAGAGGTACAAGAAAGCTAATTCAAAGTACAAAAGTGACGCCCTGCCAATACCGGGGGATAAACCACTATCGTATTACAATAGCTCCTCACTGCAAAAGTGTCAAATTAAGTTGTGTTGCTCAGAACAATTGTCCATTTTTGTATCTCATTGGTAAATTCTTAAGAGGCTTCTTTTGTTTTATCAGCCATTCTTTGAACACATTTCTTTTAAGACTTACTCTTAATAAATAGATTACAAAATAATCATTTCCTTAACTACTATTTGGGAAATAATAAACGTAAATGCTGACAGAATCTATTCACTTTACCATCCTGAAGGTTTAGTGTCTTCTTAGTAGGATATAGTCTAGTTGAAATCTCAGTCCTTGTCTACAGTGGCCTTAAATTTTCATTAAAAGTGCTTTTAGGTTGTTTAAAAAATAATTCAAAGATGATCACAACATTAGGCTACCTGTAAAGTATTATTAACGAACTAGTAGATTTTGCAGTCATCACTTTTATTGTTAAAAATGGCTATTCCCTTTTCGAAAACGACAAAAATAAAGAGAAAGTAAACGGAATTTAGTTTGTGTATGATGTCGAGATAGAGATTATTGAACAAATGGTAAATGATAGTGAAAGGCTCTCCTCGAGCAATAAATGATTAGTACACAGCATGCAGAGAGAGAGAGGGGAGAAGCAAACAACAGAAGTTGCCAGTACTGAGATAGGGCAAGGTAAAACAAAAAGCGCATCGAAAATGTTTCTTCGAAATTGACAAGCAATGTGTCTTCGTATCAAGGTTTTCTGACAAGCATCACTGACGCAGCGGTTGGTAGGATGTCTGGCGGGCTCTTAAGCACCTGGCGACGTACTTGTATCTTCCTCCATTGAGGGTGGTGACATAGTCTCTTAACGTGATGTTATATTTTCCATTTGCATGAAAGTATTTTTTTGTCGTAGGAGTAAGGGGAGGAGGAGGCAAAGAAGAAGAGGGGAACGAAATCAAGAAAAACGCCTTATTATGAGATGAAGGCAACGGGGCAGGAGATGGTGGGGAGAGGGGCATTCGGATTGATTGACTTTGAAAAAGCGCAGAACGTGGGATTATCTAGTCCTCAGCAACACTGACTTCCAACTCCTCAACGGCCGGATATTCCACCGTATAACGAAGTACAACTTCCTTTGTTTCACCTAAAAAAGTGATTGGTCGGAAATTTGCCTCCTAACTGTTCGACCCTAGCGATCAAATTTTTGGAGGGGGATAGATTTTGTATTGCAGACATGTGGGAGGGAGAGAGATCTTTGAAGGAGGAATGAAGGTGTAAAGTACCTGCATGGAGATCAAGATCCCACTCGATGTTGTGGTGTTTGTTCATACGAATTGGCTTCTTCTTATCGTACTTTTCTGGATTCTTGATATTTGGCTCAATTAGATTCACCTAGAAATAGGTAAAAACAACGGAGGAGGTTTAATTTTTTTCTATTTGAATGTTAAATAGGAGTACAAATTATCCTAGAGGGCAATTTTGGGTAGTGGGTTAATCAGTACTTTTAAAAAGTGCGAAGGGCATCTGACATTTGGAATACAAAAAAACAAAATTTCTGTCAAAAATAATGGCAAATGAATTGTCCCGTTTTTGAGACAGAAAGTAACGCAGTCGCGGACTTAGGTAAAGAAAATTCGCGTCGTCACTTATATGTGACAGTGATAGAGGAATGTTTCATAGGCAAAAGAACTGACCTTGATCTTATCCTCCCCACTAGATGGCAGCTGATCAACAACCATCACACGAACAGGTCGTTGGAAGGTATTACGCACATCAATTACTTGCTTGAAGCTTACTGTGGCCTTCTGCCCGGAGGCATTCTCCTTCGACTTAAACATGGGCCGATAGATCACCTCAATGCCTGATTCCGCGCCCAATTCGCAGGAAAGTTCCTCTCCTGGTGCCACGGCACCTAATTCCGACTGAAGGGAAGGAAGTACAACTGATTCAGCATGTAGTGAATACCTTCTTCCCCAGAATAAAAAAACAATGTGATTTACTTATGTTAAGGTGACTGAGAAAGCGAAAGCCCGAAGCACCTTGTCGTAGAATGAGTGAATCATGAGATTTGAAATACTGCGTTGACGTGGTGATTCACTTACCTTGCCAATGAATGTGTTGTCCGAGTAGATGTTTGTCTGTCCAGGCAAAATATAGAAGTTGCTGGAGTTTTTGACACGAGCTTTGAGAAAAGCGGAGAGCGATCTTTTGGGCACAGTGACGTAGTCATATGAGGGTTGTAGGTCAATTAGACCCACGGTGACCCGCACCTCCTCATTGTTGCATGCTACTATGGCAGGTGGTCGTGGCACCTCAAAGATTACCGTAGCAACGGCTGAAGTCGGTGTTGTGGTCAGTTTAGCTGTTGATGTAATTTGTAGTTCATTGGGAGGCGCCGCATTCACCAGGAGACTCGTTCCCAGTGCCTGACGTGAGGCTGCACGACTGATGGAGGAGCCACGAAGTGTGGATGTCCCGGGCTCAGCATTACTCGGAGCGCGTTGAAGGGTTCCATGTGGTGTGGATGCAATTCGAGGCGACTAAAGTAGCACATTCAGGACTTAAAGTCGAACAGTAAAAAACTACTGTCAGTGTTAGGTAAGTTAGTGTTTATGTTGCATCCAACCACTTTTCACCTCTCAGGTGTCGTCACTTTTACTAATAAACTGGTATCCATGGCTTTAGCTATCTGAGGAACAGGTTCAATCAACTGCATTGAATTGACATTTTGTTTAACTGTATTTCTAACTAAGTGGGTGCTTCGGTTCCTGTGGGGAGCTCTTAGATCCCACGGCCTGGCCTTTGCAACGTGCTAGTAGCCTTCAATCCCCTCTTCCTCAATGACGGTGGCAGAGGTAAGTGAACCCGACCCAAAAGAACGACTATCCTGCTATCGATGGGTGAGTGTGAAGCATTAGCTTTACAGAAAAGTGGGCTCTGTTACAGCTGGATGAATGTGTGGTGACTCCATTATTAACATTTGCTCCAATCCATTGATAGACAAGATTGTTATTAACATTCACTGAAGAGAAGTCCTTCGTAGAGCTGTCCAAAGTATCCGTGTGCATATGGTAGTTACCTGAACAAGCGATACCTCATCATCCATATCTCTACTAGCCGAATAGAAACCGGTTAGACAGACGGACGGATGGATACGGGATGGGTGGGGAGCCCTGAACTGGGAACGGTCTGGAAAGGAGGCACAGATACGAGACATTAGTCCCGACTACTTGTTTGCATGCCAGATACCCTCGTTGTGGGATAGTGCCCGGTTCACAAAGAGGATAAAACCTTGAATACAGAGAAATGGGAATCATTGATGTTGGGAATAAATGCCTTCCCATACGAGTTGGTGGCAAGCAAGGGATTTTCAAGCCCCAACTACACTGCAATGGTCAGCGATGGAAGATGACTGGGAAGAGGATCGAGGATGACGTTAAAAATTAAAGAGAAGTGGCTTTGATTTAACTAGATGCTTAACTACCTGGGCCTTTCAGTCTCCGTCGACTGTACTCCCGCTCTGTGGCATGACCTTCGGGTCAATAGCCTCTCAGATCTCCTGTCAGGCTCAAAATCTCAGCTTAAACCTTTCATTCATCCATATTTTGTTCAGTGTAGGGATAGGGGGTTAGTCAGATAGATGGAAAAGGTCTTCATGAGCACAAACGATGCTTAGAAGAAACAGGTCTACAAAGCTTTACTAATTTTAAAAGTCATGGATTAGTGTGGGTGAGGAATTATGGATGATAGCAAACCTCCTCAAAGTAGGGCGCGCGTGACCGTGAGGTGGTTCGTGGCTGACGCATACTCTCACCAGACAGCGAGGTATGTCGAGATCGGGGCAAAGTGGCGACTAGATAGTTGCCTACAATTGCCACCTCCTCTGGAGGAATAAACGTTGCCGTAGGCGGAGCATAGAGATGGTCCATTGGAGGTGACACGGGTCTACTCGACTCCGAGGAGTTGCGTTTCCGTGCATTGGGAGGCTTTTTACTCTCTTTTGAGGCCGATAAGGCTTGCTGCCTTCGCATGGAACTCTCGCTGTTTAGGTGGGGAAGGTGAGAAGTATCGAAGATGAGGGGTCAGCTACCTAAGGTCGGAGGAGTGGGGGGCGAGGGAGGAGCTAAAACTACTTCTACGAGGGGAGCCTCACCTCAGGCGCGTGAGAGCCGTTCTCGTTGAGGAGAGAGTGCTGGTGCTGAGCTTGTGCAAGCGCTCGAGGCGTCTTATTGCGCGAAGCCGAAGAAACAGGCCGAGGAGGGCGTGAGGAGGATGCAGATGACACACTTGGTAAGGAGGTCGGTTGGGGTGTGCTATTAGTGGGGTTGAGAGTTAGAGAAAGAGCAAGCTAGGTTAGTTGTTAGCATGCACTATGGAGTGGGTCACTACAATCGGGTTTACAGCACACCAAAAGCAAAGAACGAACTACGGGGGTTCACGTGACCTGTTTGGAATTTCTAACAAGATTCAGACCTCTGGATGCCATTAGAAGGCAACCAAATGAGGTCATGTGATTTTTTATGACAAAAATTAATTAACTGAGGAAAGTCTCCCCACCATCGCAATCCATTCCTCATTTTCCATCAGATGAGGCACAAGGTTGCTGCGATTTCGGCTTTTATGGAATACCTTTTGATGCTAGGAACCGAAAATAACTCCGTCTAGATATTTTTTTATCATCCCACTTTTATTTCCCAAATGCCTTCTCCATTTCCCATGTGATAATGCGATTGTTAGTGCTGTCGCCATGACATATATCACTATTCCCTCCCTAGCAGTGGGATTAGGCTTTGTGTTGCCTCTTGAAGCGAAGAATGGAACCTACTTCCAACTGAATAACCAGTCCTGGCTACTTTTCCAGAAGGCAACAAATGCCTTCAGTCAACTCTGCCGACGCATATAAGGGAAACCGATTCCCCTGGGGACAAAGTAAATCGCGTCTTAGAGGTGTGAAGGGGGTAGTAGGTGGGTCGCTGGGCGATGGGGAACCGCTTACCGAACCACAAAAGGGATTTTGCATCTTTAAACAAGTCCTACCCAAATGCATGACAGCAAAGTGATAATCTTTGATGCTTACTGTCTGTTGTCTACTAATGCATGGCATATTGTGCAACCCATCAGTCTAGCTACTCCTCCTAGTTTATGGCGTTATCATACATACATACATTAAAAGTTGAGTGAAAGCTGTGCTTCACAAGTTAACCTCGAAACACTTCAATGTCATCAAGAATAGAGGATCTGTCGGAGTGTAAGACTTCTAACTTTGAGCCATTCTATCTACTCTGAGTGCTATGGTCGGTTCGTGAAGCACCGGACGGGCTCGAGTCACACCCACCAGCCGTCATCACATGACATACGAGCATCAAAATCGGGGAGGTTGACGCATAGCCGAGGCGCGAGAAACGCACAAACTTTTCCACCCACCCCTGGAAATATGGAAGGGGTCCAGGCGCTGGAGGGAGGGGGAGAATAAAATCAGCCCAAGCCTTAGAGAGACTGTTGTTTGTCGTATACGTCTTCACATTGCAGGTAAACATTCCCACAGAACTGTAAAATAGCAGCAACAACTGAACACGTAAAATGCACTCCGTAAGCCAATTCTGACAGGCAAATGGAACAAAATTTTTAAAAGAATTTTGATATCTTAGCACTGTAGAGGAGAAGAAGAATTGCTTCATGGGCTATTCCCTTCTGACAGTTTGAATGATTTGATTACTTCTGTAGAAGTACAGTAAAACAAAGCCAATTTTAGCAGCTAACTCCAACTCCAGGTGCTGTAGCTGTCTTGGAGGAGGTCCAAAAAAAAGATTAGGAGTTGACACATTAGTGTGTCATAGAGATGTAAAGGTGGTAATCCAGGTAGATAGTGGAGTAGGGCGAAAGTAGGTAGAGAAGGCAGAAGAAGAAAATGACAGTCACCAAAGCGTTACTGTTTAGTCAGATTATCCACTGACAAGTCACCGGTGTGCTGTAGGATATCGTTAAGCTCATCTACCGCCTCAATCATTGTAATAGCGTCTTTGAAGGGTGAGTGACAGGTGACAATCCATCAGTCTATGCATTGCACAAATGGATGCAGAAATGACCCTTAAAATACACAAGTCTTTTGCAATTCGGTCTCCACTCTGATGATGCCTTCCAGGCTCGCCCCGACGGTGCCTCGAGGTGAGGTAACTAGCCTGATTTTGCAACGAGCTGCACGAGCTTTCACATGCATGTAAACCGAGATGAGAGGCAAAAAAAAGTGGGGAAAAACTGGTAGTCACGGCAACATCTGCGCAACAAATTTTAAGTTACATGATTAAAATCGTATGTGTCATCACCTTGGTGTGTGATGTTATTCTGTTTTTAATGGGAAATGAGAAATAAAACTATTTTGTGGGGAAGGATTAATGACCGCTCCAAGGGTAGATGGTTAGTGTGCCAGCAATCTAAGCTCGGTTAGAGGTCGTGTATACAACGAGACGGTTTGTTGTTCACTCCAGTTAGAAGCATGCAGCCTTGAAAGCCATTCTCTCAACGATAACGACCTCACGCCACCCTATACTACTTCTCATGAATTAAGTAGTTCGTTCGACTCCTAAGGGGATGGCTAAAGAAAAGGGGGCCCTGGCTTTTGTTCCAAGGACAAAAAAGCTTACGTTTGTTTGTAGTGCAAGCGCTGTAAGCCGAGTGACGGGCAAAGGCCCTCCGAACTCGGCTGAGCAGTAGATAGAGTCATTCTTCTCGGTTCCCAGTCCTCGCCAGTCGACTGTTGCACCAAGCCGTAGTAGATGATCTAGCAACAACCAAATTCAGCCAGATTATTCACTTTATTAGATGGAAAACGGAAATATCAAAGTTCGTCTCGGACTTTAGGCAATTGATAATTAATTTCTCTGTTAGATTGCACTGGGTTTGTGTGCCATTTTCGCTAACGGAGGAGAAAGTATTCTTCTCTGTAAACGGTTGTGGAATGAAGAACAAAAAAACCGCACACCGCTACGAATACCCTCAGCCAGGATTGTTCCCCTTCTCTTTTCGCTAAAAATGGCTGCTTAAAGCCTTAATTCGCACTTGGCCCAACAAACACTTACCTTCATGGATCCGTCGCTGTTGAAGAGACGAATATCATAGGCGGGTTTCCAAAGACACCGACTAACGACGTAGGTGATCAACATGTCCACTGGACCGTCTTCACGGGGCTCAATTAGTACGCTGATTTCCCTGTAAAAAAGTCAAGAGAGTGATATAAATACGCCTTGGTGGAAAGACCGCCTATTCGTTATAACCCATTCGTCTCGGAGCCTCACTAGACGTGTGAGTCTATTCAAAAGCTGGGTTTGTGTATGCCGCATGATGTTTATGTTAAATCATGAGTGTTTTTATTTGTCTACGGCATATAGTGGGGAAAATGCTCTTTAAAAGTATGGTTAGTTTGTGGATTTTTTTTTCGAAATCCCACAATGATCGCCCCTATCGATCTGGATCAAACGCAGTAAGAAGCCTCATGCCAGTGTCACATATGTGTGACACGTATTTCTTGTACTTGCTTAATAGTTCGTCTCACCAAATTATGTCTTTTGTTAATTAATTCGTACGTTGCATGACCTTAATAGATTAACAAACCATGTGAACCACAACGGATATGTCTTGTAGACCAGCATAGCAAGTGAAATTTCGATAGCACATCCGAGGTTGTGTGGACGCCTAGCCATCTCAGAAGGTACACGAAATACACAAGAGCTACTCCATTTCTCTTCCGATTTAATCATTCCTTAATGTTTTTCACCCATGTCGGTGTAGACGAATATTTCACTACTTGTTTACGTCAATGTCTGACAATTGACTATCGGCTAGTAAGGCAAGTAACACCGCCATCACTGTGCCTCATTATAAATGAAAGTTGGATGAAAATAAGGTTAGGCCATCAGTGAGACGAATGAGTGCCACATCTTTGCAGCTAATTAGCATAAGTGAGGTCATATTTTCCGGCACTAAATTCTCCACGCCTCCCAATAGTGCACGGAAGAACTTCAGATTTGCAAACATCAACAAATCGCGAACTTTGTAAGGTTAGCGCGGTTTTCTAGGCGAAATCGTTTTACTCCAGTTACATACTTTAATAAAAATAAAGGCCTCTTAAAGAGGTTCCTTTACGTTGGATTTATTTGAAGCTCTAGCACACAGTGTCCCATTGTGGTGGTCCTGGGTCATTTCATAACAGATCAGAGAATAACTAAACTGTCCAATCGCCTCCAAACGCTGGGATACAAAAGGCACCTACCTGACTAGATTTTCGTCTTGACGTTTCTCCAGCATATCCAACTCCTTTTCAATTTGCTCGGCCCGATCACGAGTCCGATCCAACTCTTCCTTGGAGGAGAGGAGGCTGCTGTCCAAGCGCTCGGCTTGATCTTCGTACATAGTTAAAAAGCGCTGTAATGTGTCCATGTGTGATGGGTCATAGGGATTAGCCTGATTGTTAAGCTACAATTAAAAATAAATAAATCATAAATTATAAATTATAAATTACGGTGAGACTAGAATAAGTGCCCTGGAGCGCTTTAAACCGACCGATAAAAGGTAACCCAACAGCGGATAAAATGGCGGTCGACGTTTTCCCACTCCTGTCAGAACAAAAGCTAGACGCTAAGCGGGCTCTAATCAACAATCTGTATCATTGTCTTCGTTTTCCGCTGCCATTTTAGGAAAGAAACAGTACAGATAAGCAGACTAGACACAGCTATGTCCCTAAGATGCACTATTGTGAAAAAAATTGTCTGGTTAACCCGGGACAACTGTTGTTGTTAGCGCGCGACGACCAACTGGCGCCTTTCACTGCCAAAATGGGAAAAAAGCGGTCACGAATCCCCAGGCTAAGAGGAATAATTAAAAGGTAGGCGCGGTGTTAAGGCATGAAAGTCCCCAATGTTTGTCTGAGGTGGAAATGTTTGAGTATCGCTGCAGGTCGGATTGATTTACGGTATGACCGAGGATGCTTTTTGCGACAGTCTGATGGGTGTGCCACAGAACCCCGATGTGCTTTACCTATTTCACACCGGTTTGCGTTAGTTGCGTGCATCGTAAAACGTGTGTTTGAGGTCATGGCCTCGGGAGGCATGTAAACAAGCTCCACCACCGATGTTTTTGACAGATGGCTCTGACTGTGTCATTTCACTTCTCTCCATCCTACAGTCTACTCAGTTTGTAACGCTCATTTAAGGTCCAAGTGGAAGGTGAGGGCGGATGTGGTGGTGAGTCAAGGTAGCCAAAGTTCGCAATACCCCTATTTGTGATGTGAAACGGCACTTGTCTGGTCACAGTGACCTAATTTATACGCAAAACAAATTGCTTGCATTATCTCGGAATTAGAGGGCCTTACACCTGTTGAAGGAGTACTTAAATGACTTTTATCTCTCCATTTAGAACAAAAAAATTAGGCGGGAGCGAAAGTGACTATCGTATAGGTCAGGTTTTGGCTGCTTAAACAATACGTACGACTCCGGAGGCTCTTACAAGTCAGCTTCCTCAAAGGTGGCGTGATCTACGCCAACTACATAGTTAGTCACCCTGCTTTCGTCCACATTCTTCTGGGGTAAAATACTTTAGGGGTAATTTGAGGGCCAACAGTAGCGGTATAGTAAAGCTGTATAAAAACTTCATCAGCTGCGGCTTTAAAAAAGACTTGTAGAGAAATTAGCCTGCTGGCTTACTGAGGAAGACGTCTAAGATGAATTTTTGAAGGTTCGCCAGTATTACCCGTATCCTACGAGTGTAAATGATCCAGTCCTTCAGTCACTTGAGCTACCTGTGATAGCAATCTAGAGGAAATGTGTTTGAGGAGAAAAAATCGAGGCGATTCTCTGAAGAGCTCGAATTTATTGTGTATTTTAATGACATTGCTTCGATGTAGAATGACTGCAACTAGTGAAGTCACTAATCATTGAGTCCGAAGGTGAATTCTGAAGTTATTTCAGTGGGACCGAGCGGTACAGTTGTGACGGTGGATAATGAGTAATTACACGTGGTGCCGACCCAGCCATGCCAGAGATTGTATACGCTACGCTACAGGCTCTTCCAATCCTTCGCTGCTTGTACCTCGTAAACTTTGCGGCATTTGTAGGAGAAAAATTGGCTCCAAAGACCAGTCTTAGTGGCGTGTAAATTGAAGCACTTGTGGTTCAAGCGGTTAGCAAACATTCGATGAGGAAGTAAAACCACTCATAGGCACTCAACCTCATTATCAAGTGGGTCAACCGCTTCCAAGGCATTTAAGGGGACTTCAGAAGGATGAATTATTGAAATAGACTGCCTATGAATCTTTCTACTAGTCAGAACTTGAGAAACTAAATAGTCACTGTATTATGAATGAAAGTTGTTGGATTTATCCTAGCCACCACTTGTTACCTCCCCAAATGCCATAGTGCCATTCAAGCGGCGGAAGGCATGGTTGCATTCTCCGGGGAGACCACAGTAATGCCCCAATCAAACTGCCAGCTTAAACACTGGATAGATAAATTGCCTATTACCTCGCTTCTCTGCTTCAATGGGATGGAAAAGGCAAATAACCTCCAGCACAGAGTCGCCCCAAATCCCATCACATGGCACCATGCGTCAGTGGCTTTGATTTGATTTTTCGGTAGAAAATTCCCTTCTTGAAGATTATTTGAGAATCTCTCTTCTGTTATTTCATGTGTTTTTTTTTCAAGAAAAAAGGTAAGCACCAATCACTTTGGTTCTCCTCTTTCACGAGTCAGGAGGGTCTGTCAGTCGACGACCCGCCTCCTACTTTGTCCTCTGTTTACACCTCGAATAAACAAAGCCTTTACCCTAACATGTCAAAATATATGACTACTAATCTGGAAAGTGATTAATGTGCAGAATTTTCAGCTAGTTAGGAGGGTGAAGCTTTTATTTGATAAACTATAACGTAGGTATAACTAGGGATAGGAGGAACTGAAATGTTGCCTGACTGGGCCATTCTGACATCCTACTGGTTTGCAAAGAGAAAAATGTCAGAATGCCTGGTGCTTAAAAACAGAAATACAAATGAAACGCTCACCTCCGAGACCGATCGCTTCGCCAGACCCGTAGCAAGGCTATCCTCATATACAGGCGGTGCTTTCTTACTATGCTTGTCGTGTTTTTTATCGTACTGTGGCAGTGGCATAGGCGGAGGCTGAGGCAAGGCAGCTGCAAATACCTCCTCCTCAGTTTTTTTAGTCATTCCATCCGCAAAGGTGTCCAGTACAGTACGCTGTTTTTCAAGGCGAGCCAAGCGACCTGTGACTGCCTCAATCTGACGATGACACTGACGCAATTCGGTCTGCAAATCAGCGATGCTCTGTGCCCACGTCTCCTCCAAGTGTGGAACTGTACGTGCGGTGTATGTCACATCGAGAATTGTGGCCGCTCCTCGCAATTCAACTCTAGTAAAATAAGTGGAAAAAAGATGCTTTTGGTACCCATAAATACACGGTCTTTTCAGTCTGTAGAAGTCTTGGTGGATGCGTCGGTTGGATAACTTGTTTGACTAACTCGGTTTGTTTGCACCACGCCATCTCTTCTGTATTTTCAAAGGAAAATCTTATCCAAACCCATCTTACTGACATTTGACGGTGGTAAGTGACACTTATCAAAAGGGTCAGAAAGTCTATTTGGCTGGTACAGGGTTCAGGGTAGAACGCGTCGGCTGCGAATGGTTAAATTGGCGGAGACTCGCAATGGAAAGACCTCTGGATGAACCGATGAATAGGGATAAATGGAACTTCACTATTTGCTGTGAAACTTTTGGCAATCGACAGATGGAATGAGGTCGTTGTAGGGCCGTAAAAAGTCACCGAATCACCACGATTGGGTTAAAACTGCGCACTAAACCCCGGATATATCGTGCCGGACAAGGAGCCTCGATGGCCTTGGGTAATTTTTGAGCTGCCGACTGAAGCAGCAAGAAAGTCGATTCAAAGAAGTCAACTGTCTTCACGACCTCTTCATGCTCCGCGTTTTCGACGTTATGGCGCTCTGACTTCTTCGCTCCACACGGAAAATTGACGAGAACATGGCCAAGGCAACAGATTTTATGTTCATCTCGGTTTAAATTACATTTTTATGGCAATTTTAAAATGTGCTTACTTAATGCAACCTTTTTATTTTCTTGATAGCCAAGTACTGGTGCACTAGTCAGTATGTCCCTCAAAAACATTTTATTCTAACAAAGACGGTCTGGACATTCCTTCACAGGGAATGTGAATATCCCAGTCACCTTTAAAACCTTTTTTTACGATACTCAAAACACCCTAAAGACTATGCTGGAGCCTCCTTTGCCGGCACTAACTTAAAAATGTGACAGTGTGGAAAATATTACATTCCGGAAGGATAAAAGGGGCATGCGCCAGTTCATGATTGTGCCGTCTGTTTTCACCTTTTCAAAGGTCGCACAAAGGTTAGATACCAGACAGGGGAAGTTTTCAAGGAGCAGTCAAAAAAAACCACCTCAAGCTAGTTTCTCCTACCGATTTCAGAGGCCAGGCGTTTTGATACTGCGATATATAAACATACTGGCCTTTTGTAAACAGTTAGCAAGGCGAGAGCTTCACAGCAGTTGGATAAACAAATGCGAATTTCTAGAACCTCGTCGCCTCCATCCGTCAGTGAGATCACTCACTTGGCTTTCTCTCCTCCCCCCTCGTGTTTTGCGTCTCTCCAAGTAGCGAGGTTTTGTTACAGCATTGTGAAGATAATAGGTCGGTGACAGAAACCAACTTTGGTTCAATTTCAATCAACAGTCGGAAAATTTATCCAAAGCAAGAATAAATGGATAGAGATGCGAGTGAGAAGAATAGGCGGCGACGGATTCCGGTAGCGACTATAGTCAGGCAAGACGAACTGACATTCACGCCTGAAGGAAAAGTTAAATGTCCTCTTCACAAGTTAAAGGTTAGTCACCGAGGTGCCTTTTACCATCTAACAGTATGCAATCTCAGCAAGCTTAGCTTTGCGGCTTAAAATTGCGTAAACAGAGCGCATGACACATAGGTCGCATCACCTTACGAAGCATAGTGTAAATCTGTACCACTTAACTTTCTCCAAGACGATCACTGTGAGAAGAAAGGTACACTAGTACAGAATTAAGCGCGGAAACAGTGAGAAAATGGGAGTACGGAACTGACCTTTCAAAGAACAATGGAAAAATAAGTTAGTTTTACTCTTAACTGAAGCCTGAGTCTTACGGACTGGCAGACTATGGTGCTAATAGCTAGGCAATCATGTCCCAATACTTCTCGTCCGCCTTCCTCACCTCCCTCCTTGCAGTCAGCCGCACAAAGAATGCAAATCCAGCAAGACCAGCCTCCTGTTTGCCAAATTTGGGTAATTTCAAAGAGTTCACCGCGACGGTAAATATGTAGAGAATATTTGGCTGAAGACAATTAATGCTCACGGCATTTTTACAACAAACCTCGATTCCTACCTAATCGAGTCCTTATCAATAGCCGTGGAGACATTCTCGAAGAGCATCTCAACAATCTCGCCTGCCTTGAAGACCGGTGTGATTGTCCTCACTAGCTCCGCACGATCCGTGAAGACAGTGACATGACTGAGTTGAAGATCAGGCAGAGCGAGAGTCTGTCTAACTTGAGCCAGTCCAGCTGGAGTATTTCCTCTGCCCTCCCTGTTACCGCCTCTATTCATGGTTTGGTGAGCCGAGGCATCCTCACTCGGACTGAGAGGTCCACCTGGAGTTCTGTGCTGCGAATAACTGGGCGTCTCACTGCCATTCATGTGTGAGCCCGAGTATCCTCCACTCCGAGGCAACTCCATGTCAGATAATCCTGCTCTCTGGTGGGTCTGTGGTGGTTGGGATTGCAAGGAGCCGACAATGCTAGAAGGAAAGACAAGATTCGCGTGGATTGGTGCCTTTTTACCACACTCCTACTGCTGTTGTTGTGCAGGCCAGACACTTGGCTGAATTAATGTGCATCTGGAGGAAGCGAAGTTAAAGTATGATTGGTCACAGTTGCCTGCGTGCCGTCTTGGATGGAATTGTGTGTGTGTGTGTGTGTGTGTGTGTGTGTGTGTGTGTGTAG